AAAGGCACATACAGCTGTGGTAACCTGAGCCAATGTCACTGCTTGCCACTCAGTTGCTTTCTTCACACTGCTCTGATGAGTATTGATATGTTGAAGAGCCAAAGTAAGCTTCAGATCTGCATTACAACAATTGCTTATTCCCTGAGAGGAAAACTCTAAGGCAAGTCTTGTTATACATTTCATCTCAGCTGGCAACATTTGCCTTAAGGGCTTCATAATTCAAATAAACAGCACACAAACAGTAGCATGCCTGTTATGTGGTTGCTTGGGGAGTGAAGATAGTGTGATTCCTTGTGGTTGTGGCTTCTTGGACAGCGGGAGAGATTTGCAATAGTAAGTGGGGGCTGGAGAAGGAGATACTGGAAGACAGAAAATTGAAAGACACAGAAAACCTTAGTGAAGAATGGATATATTAGCTATATTAATACTTATGAGGTTCCATGCTTTTGGGAATGGTTATGGTGTGCCTTCTAAACCTTCAGCATTATTATAGTCATGTCCAGATTTATCTGATCCACTTTATATTGTACCTCTAGTGCTCAGTCAAAGTCAAAAGGTTGTTCCATAACACCAGGTGAATACTTTGTTCTTCTTAGAGGCTCTCTGAAGAAACAATTACTTGGAAGAACAGAAGGCCCATCCTCCTTGATTTCCCAACAGTGCAAACCTTTAGCATTTTCTCTAATGTTGTGGCAACTGAATTTGTGAGTTTGAAGAAGCAGCTGCTACATGAACAACTCTTGCAGGCTGCTTCTGCTGCTAGGCATAGCTGCAGCAGGCTGGTAGCTCTCCAATGCCAAGAGAGGTGAGACTATGCAGAAGAGAAAGAGAGACTGGCTGCTACTAGAAACCCAGCCAGCCATTTTATAAGGAAGCAGAGTTTAGCATTTTCTATCCTATGTGAACATTTCCTGCATATCAGGTTGCTGGTGATTTCACCATGTGGAAAAAAGATGAAAGCCTTGGAATTAGGGTATACACAGCATCTCCACACCTTTCAACCTTATTTTCTTCTCTTCCACCTCATCTCTTATTTGCACTGTTATGGCCAGGTACTCTCTTCTCATGCAATGTCTGGGATTCCACCACTGACAGTACTGCTTGTTCAACACTTTGTTCAACAACTTTTGTTCAACACATTGGCTTGGATGGTGTGAGCAAAGGGAATGTGGCTTGAACACAGAATGTAATTATGACACAAATGTTCAAACATACATATTCACCTAGCAGACCTCAAGGATACCAACTTATGATTTTGGCTTCTTTAGGAGATGTTGAGGTCTTCAAATGTCTGGCCCAAGAGCAAAGGCAAATTGCACTAGCTTGACTGGGTACAAGATCTTTTTAAAGTGCAACATCTATTTAACTTCCCTTGATTTTCATAAAGTTACTGTTATCTAATTTATAAAATATATATTGCACATAAAACACACATTACCCATGCCCAGCTGTGTAAAGTATGTTCCTTCTTATGGAGACAAAAATACCTTTTCTCTGGCTCCTACATGATCACTTGGAAACTTGCCTCAGCTGCCCCAGCTTCCCTGCTTGTAGGACCCATTCCACTGATCTTGATCCGCTTGATCAATCTGCTGTGGATTTTCTTCCCACCTACCTTGAGTCTATTTCAGCAGTCTGTACCAATTCCTGTGAACACACATTTATGGGCTGGAATGTCCTGGTTTGGGAGTTCATTTGTCTGATGCAAATCACTACCACACTAATTATCACAGCTGTACTTGTAAAGAGAAGTAGGCACTGTGTGAAGGGATTGAAATTCAGAAGAATTATTAGCTTTGAAGATGAATAACCTGAAGAAGACAGCTTTTTTAACTAAGCTTTTATTTCCTCAGTTCCATTGTAACGACTTGTAGAACAGATGAGTGGAAGTGTATGTCATAGGCCTAAATAATAGATCTTTAAAGAAAAAATCCCAGACTGTAATAAGTAGAAAGGAGGCATTTAAAGAATGTTTCCTGCTCTTGAAGAAATTAGAAGTAGACAAAGACAAAAATGTGTTTTGAAGCAGGAAAAAAAACAACAACAAAAAAAAAAAAATCAGAGAGAGAGAAGAGAGAGAATTAATGAATGAAGAAGGCAACTAGGACATCTGCATGGCCAGTGGTGTGCAGAGCAGAAATCACAGACCCAGGGTGGAGGCGGCACAGCACAAGGCAATGAAAGGTCCCTATCTGGAGTCTGAGCAGGGTGACAGTTACATCGTGGCATGTCCCCAAGGGAATAAGCTATGCCTTTCAGCAAGGGTCACTTGCTTGGAACTGCTGCCACAATGATATGGCCGTACTGCGTCTGGCTCTGACATGTCTGCCCTACACTTTGCTGTGCACCACAGATATGGTCCTCCTGTTCCACTTAGCAGATCCCTTGGACATCAGCCACAGTGGGAGTCTGAAACTGTAAAACAAGGAGCTATTGCATGAAACAGCAGGGAGTAGACTGAAGAGGCTGAAAAGAGATTAATTCTTTGTACCTGTAAAAGCTGCTCAGTGTTGCAAAATATAGCTAGGCTACAATAGCCCCTGAATGAATTTAACCTGAGTAGGATAAACATCTAATAGGGTAGGGCTGCAACTGTAATCAAAATCCTTTCTAGCATGTCCTGATTCCCCAAATTCTCCTTTAGAGGCAGTCTTTATTAATTTAAGCTGTATGGAGTATGATGCATGAATCAGGATTCACTGTGGATACCTAACACTGAAAGACATACAAAGGATACTTAAAAAAATCAAAGTTTATAATCTCTTCTAGGGTAATGGTGCTAAACTGTGATGAGATCAGAGGAAGGATATATTATAGTTTTTGCATTTTAGTAAGATCACAGATGGATTTTGTACTCTTTAAAATCAGACAAGCTGTTAACAGGGAAGGATCTAAGTGATTCTGAGACTCTTATCACCACAGGAAGCAGACAAAAAATGGCTAAATCTTACAGCCCATATTGTCATAAATTGGTTGACAGAATCAAAAGTTAAAAAGGAAAATATCTCAATAATTTTAATGAAATCTGGGTAAAAAATATTAGAACATTGGAAAGAGTTATGAAGTAAAGCAGTTTTCTCTTCAGTATTTGCTATACTAAGTGAGAAGTAAAAGATGAAAGTGACCCAGTCGCATCTTCTTAGTGATCCCATGTTCATCCCAATACTGAGGACTAGTGAGCCAGTAAAACACATGCTGTTACTTTTATTTTTTTATTATTATTATTTTTTTTTTTTTAGGATTTCTGCATGCCCCATATGTATTTGCATAGGTCCCAGATGTAGAACTGCCATGGGATCTGCATCAGTATACAAACTCCTTATCTCCCAGCCAAAGGACAGCTCAGAAGCACCTCTTGCCATCCAAATCCCTCCTTACACTTTCAGACTGAAATAGCTCTCTTCATCTTACTTTTACCAACCCAAACACTGTTTCAAATGCACGCTATTAAGCCAATGTTCTCCTCCACAAGCAAAGCAGCTCTGTTATGAATGAAATAACTCATCTACACTTGCAAAGACTGTAGAGCACTCTGTGAGTCCTATCCTGATTATCTTTTACTCAACTGCTCTGGCCAGAGACCCCACTAATACCTGACATCGTGCAAACAAACACAGGGTAAAAATGTCTCTTCTCCAAAGAACTTTCAGTGTAATTAAGGAGAGTAAGTGTTAACATCCTTTTTTTTTGTGAGGCACAGAGTAATTTAATCATTTGCTCTGTGTTTCTTCGGGATGACTGCATGTGTGTAGTCCTGTATATTGGTTAGTGATGATTTTTTTTTTCTTCATGTTTCTGAAGCATAAAGTGTTTTTCTTGTTTCCTTGGGTAAATCATGCCAGATTCAGCAGGAAGGTAATGACTTCTCGGGCAGAATGAAATCCTGTCAGAAGCACTGAACAGTACAGTGTCATTGAAGTGCAAGTCAGCAGGTCTTAATGAATATCATCAGTGTGCAAAGGCTCTGATTACTTGGATTGTGACAAGCAAGATGTAAATCACTGAGGTTAAACATGGAACAGTAGAGTAATTAACTCTGCATGCAATGCCAGTGCTCAGGTTCAAGGCAGGACAGGACCCATACATTGGGCTGCAGTCCTGAAGACTAAAACTGGGATCTGCAAAACCATGCACTCTCCCTCTGCACCCCACTGAAGGGAGCATCTAAAATGCAGAGAACCTAGCAGGAGCAAAACAGGGAGCCATGTGATGAGTGTCTTGGTCTGATGTGGAAAAAGGTGTCTGTTTCTTGCTTTAACCTTAATAGCACCAAAATGTGCAAACCAGCAGCACTTAGGCCAGTAAGAGTTTCGCCACTGTCTTGAGGGAGGTCACAACCTCAGTTGTTCTCACTAACTTAGTTTTCTATAGTGACCCTGAGTGTTGAAAACTTCCAGCCTTGAAGTGTTATTTGTTGGTTAAAGTGTTTTTCAGCAAAGTGACACTACTGAGGGTGAAGCTGATGCAGGTCAGATATGTGGATGGCTGATGGTTGAAAGCAGAGAAGTAAATGTATCAAAGTATCACAAAAAAAAAGGAAGAAAAGAAATCAAACAGGATGAACTACAAGTAACACTTCTGGGAAGACACAGTGTCTATACGTGGTATACCTGCCACAGTATATATTGGGAGACATTATACCAGCTTAAGTCTGCATCCCAAGTCATGGGGCTCCCTTGCCTATTCAATGTTTTATGCTTCACCAGTAACTCTCTTCATCCCCCCCCCCCCCCCCCCCCCAACCCTGAGGTGCTGCAGACTGCAACCATAAGCTGGCTTTTCTTGCCTTGCTGCTGCTGTTTTTGTGGCAAGCAGAGCTCCGTACTGGACTTGAGGCTAAGAGTGCAACAAAGAAGACAGCAGAGTTAAATAAGCTCCAATATTCCCAGTTTCCACTAACATTCCTTTCCTCTGGTGAAAGCGTATGTGGGGCCTTTCCTGGCTCAGCTTGTTGGCTCGGTTTGGCAGCTCCCCAGTTCCCCTGAGATCAGCACGCATACCGCTCATCCTCTGGAAATTCCTCCCTGGCCACAGGGAAACAGGTCACCAGCCAGGAGCTGGGCTCCAAACTCCAGGAGTCTCTCTCTGCTCAGAAGAAGCCAGGTGGGTAGCTGAAAAAGAATTGCTGAGAAAGAGAAAAATAAGCTCTTCAAAGCTCAGAGGTTATTTGGGAGGAAATGGTGTGGCAGAAGGGCAATGCTGTCCTGTAAGCACTTGATGGAGACCCAAATGCACAAGGTCTTCTGTGTGATCCCCTCACACCCTTCCCTGGAATGGCAGTGGGGGAGCAGAACATTTAGGTTAGATTTTGCCTAGTTGTGAAGAGAGTAAACTGGCCTGGGCTAGTTGTGGATATCTGCTGAGATCCAAAGCATGAGGATTTCATCATTTCCATCTATTTGGCAGGTGGTGGCATGCCCCAAATGGAGATGACGCTTCTGATCTTTTGTCTGTTTTGGAAAAAGTACAGACTTTCTAAGCTGACAGGACTTTTTTGAGTCACTGAGAGGGAAACAAGAGAGGCAAAAGGATAAGGCAGAAGTACTAAGAAAGAAGAGATAAAAATTTGAAGGCAAAGGTAGCAAATTGGAGGAATTGGCATGAATGAGAGGAAAATAGGAAAAGAGGAAAGATAGACACAGAGAGAAAATGTGATAAATGTAGATGGGAAAGAATAAAGCACACATTTGCTTAAGAATAGGGTAGCATTCACCCCCTTGTCAGTGTGGTATGCATCCTCATTTGAACCTGCTCTTCAGCAGATGTCCATCTGTCACAGCTGGTCTTCATCTCATCTGTCTGCTTCTCAGGCTCATGGGATGGCTGCATATGTCTGCCTTTTCTCACATAAGCAGGACTCCCATTTTCTTGTGGTCCTCACCGACCTGCCACTGCACCAGGATGGTGAGATTCCATAATCTGGGCAATTCACCACTGATCACAGTGTAAAAGGTAAAGTTACTGCTGCTGAATCAGAAAGGTGCCAAGGTCTCCACATATCCCCTTTTGTTTGCCTCTCTCTAAGCTTTTTAAACTATGTAGGTATGAAAGGAACTCTTCCCACTTCCCAAGAAACAGGCTTTTTTTTTTTTTTTTTTTTTTTCCATGGAAGTTGCAAGAAGGTTGCTCTTTTACAAGGTTATAGGGCTACAGCATTTCCCACTAATACCCATCATCTTCTCCCATTAACATCAGTCATAGCAGCAGTGACACAGTGGCATATGTCCCTGTTTCCCCCCTAGCAGTCCCTGTAGAAATGTTAAGTTCTGCAAGCCCTCGTTTTCCTCCCTGGCTTTCATATGCTCACAGCCATGACATTATGTTTTTGTTTGTGCCTGGCTCTAAAGAGGCATAAAGTAATTTTTTTATTGAATTTATTTATTAAATGCAGATTCTATGTCTGAGAGAACTGTTTGTGACTTAAACCCCCTCCTAAAATAAAAGGCATTTAACGCATGCTTCATTTTCGTTTACTGCTATTGTTCATGACTTGGCACTGAACAAACTCCATTTCCAGTTAAATGCTACTTGTAGACATCCTAATATAGTACAGCATGTTTTAAGTGAAACCATTCATTTGTCATAGTCACAGCAACTTCTGGTTTTCTGGATTGCCATGCCAATTTGGCAGAAAAGTTTGGAAGGTGATAAGTCTAATGATAAAAACGTATATACAGCTTGTTTTATTGCTTTCTTTCACAGGATTTTTCACTAAACAGAGCTCAAAGGGGCAGACTTAGCTCGGCTTGTACTTAGTAAGCCCAAAGATCAGTTGGGCACTCATAAAAATATCCAACAAGTTTTCCTCACTTGTGTTCCCTATTACAGGAATCTCATACAATCAGGCCCAGTTAGGCCCAAGTTGCAAAGAGAAGTGTCAAAAAATAAGAATAGCCCAAACCTACTTTCTATCTCAGGTCTGGGGTTCTTGCCATCATTGCCTAACCCTCCTGCTTTTCTGCACCAAGTTCCTGTCTCTCACCATGCCCTGTCTCTCCCCAAAATCAAACCCAGATGCACAAAGACAGCAGCTGCTTGGCTGAGGCCTGAGCAATGCTGACTACAGTGGATGGAGGGAATCCTCCAGGAATGCAGGGAGCTGAGAGGAAGATTCGAATATTTATCAGTGGGGCTGAGAAAGACAAGACAGTCACAAGCCACCCATCACACAGACTGAGGGGTTGTCATTTCAGGGTGTTATATTTCTCATGTTCACAGTGAGGAAATGTTGTAGGCTCCAGATTAGGAAGAAGTATTTCAAGAGTCTGCCTGGTATATAGCTAACTGTTAGGGACACCATGAGAAATTTCATTTCCCTAGAAAGACTTCTTTTTTTTTTTTTTTTGCCAGAAATAGTATTTAGGGAGCAGGCTGTTGGATGATTCCTGGTAAGTTTTGGATGCCTTTCAAACCCTGAATGACTAACTGCATGTACCACAGACCATCTACCCAGCACAGATCCTCTTATGTCAGCCGAAATCTCTGTGCATGCTGCTCACAGACAGCACTGTCCAGCTGAGGTGAAGTCTAAAGCAGAATGAGATGTTCACATAGTTCCTACAGAGGAACATATGGGGACTCAAGCAAAACAACACCATCGATGCAGAGCTCCATTTCTACTTGCACACGTTTGCCAGTGAGGTAAAAATAACCAACCCATCATGTGTGTTAAATACTCTATACTCATTCCTGCTTTCTACTTACTTGATCAAAGAGATAGATGTGTGCATCACTTCCAGCTGGCTTGTTCACTCCTGCTTGAATTCATGCTGCCAAATAAGACAACTGTCAAAGAAACAAATGAGTCTCCCCTGACACCTCTGCATGTAAGTGCTGCTGACCCCAAGGCTGGACTTCAGCACCCCCTGACTGCCTGCCTGCTGAAATGGAAAAGAGTGCTGGTCCTTCAGCTGGGAGCAGCTACTTGAACATATTTCAGTTTACGTATCTGTTTTCAAACTACAGTGCATTTCTTTGTGGGTGTTTTTGTTGAAAAAATAAAGCAAGCATTATTTAGATGAAGTTATAAATCACCTTCTGAGTGTCTTTTTCACAGCAGCCTGGAGTGTTGTCTGTAACCCAATGTAGCTGCTAATCCAGTGTGCCCTAGGAGCTCAGCCAGCTAGTTTGCATTCTGCTTCATCATTAATGTCTGTGCAGCACTTAGAGGTCAAAATGGAACTTAAAGAGTACTGTGTCTCCCATTTAGAAACAAATATGGGGACAAGTTGTCCGTACCTCATTTTGTAGCCATGAGAAATGTCAATTTACTGCTATAAATAATTACTTTATCGTGTGTGCTCCAGTACCTCAGACAGTGATTTCCTCTTATCTATAAGGTAGACCAATAATAATATTCCCATAATATGACAAAAGCAAGTCAGATGAGGATGGCATAAGATGAATATCAATCACATGCTCAGATCTAGATGATCTCTATAAACTTGCCTGGTGATAATCCTTACTACCAAACTGAGGAAGAAAAGTCATGCATAATGAAGTCTGTTTTTCATGAAGAGCATTTCTTTAGACACAAGACCATGGAAGAATGACCTAAAGATTTTTCTTTAGCAGCTTATAATGACAAGCAAATGAGTGTATACATGCTGACAGAAACTTTTCTAAGCAAGCATATTTCATTATGAAAGCTTCAAATTGTTCAACTTAGCGAGAAGAAAGACCAAATCCAGGAAAAGGCAGGTTGATATTTACAATGTATCACAGCAACTTACCTAAATTGCTCTTCCACAGTCATAAAAATGTCTTCTGTTCCAGTTCCCCCACACAGAGGAGTTAAAATGAAGAATAAATTCCCAGCTGGTTTCAGTCAGCAATATGCTAGATGTTTTCATGGGAAATCAAGTCTTCCTTCTTTATTCCAATTTCATTCTTCCTAAGTATAGAACATGAGATCATTAGCTTTTTTTCCTTAAACATTTACTTAGACTATTTTCCTGGAAGCAAAAATCCATTTTACAAGTTCAGGTCAAAAAAAGAGACTGTATGGAAAGGAAGAAAAGCTCTGACTCTAATACCCAGGACAAACTGGCAGGGTGCTGTTGCCTGGGAGCCATTGGTTGATGACATCTGTAGGTGACAGGAAAGGGAGCAGCAAAAGATGCTGAGATTTGAACTTTCATTAATTTCAGCAGCAGCTGTCAGCATTTGGTTCCTTTCAGTTCCTGTCATCAGAAGACAATGTATTTGTTGACTGTAAGAGTTCTGGAAGCCCAAATCTAACCTTCTTCTCTTCCACTTGATTCCAAATATGCCTTTCACAGCACAGGGCTCTCTGTGACCTGGCTGTCCACAGAGCAGAATCACAGGGCTGGTGGTGCTAGCTCAGGTCATCTGAGGACCTCGTCCACAGTGTCCTGCCTTTAGCAGTTTGCAGTACTCAAGGTTCTGGCAGGACTTTCTGTATTTAATAGAGAATCCATTTGTACCTCAGTCTCAGCTTTATTTTTGCGGATTGTGAAACCTGAAAGGTCTAGAAATATTCAGATTTTAGGAGAGTGTGAAATAATAAGGAACAGTAGACAAAGGACAGCTTTGTAAAATGGAAATCCCATATATGTGCTTGTGGAGTGGGAGAGGCAGCTATAAAAATAATTTTTCATTCATCCTTCAGGTTACTATGTTTCTGACAATATCACAAAGACTGATGAAATTCTGTTGGCAGACCACTACATCTACACACAATGAAATCCAACAGTTATATTCTGTTGATAATTATATTTGAGTTCTGTCAATTATTTTAGTAATATTTTCACTTAGATGTAGAAAATAACAAAATAGGGCCCAGACATTCACACAGGTGTGAACTTGACAGAACAGATGTCTTCTCATGGCAACCCTCCTTTACCACTCCAGAAGAGACATGTGGTCCCCTCTGTTTCTTCAGCAGGGATACAGCACAGCTTTTCACACTCCATGTTCTGCTCAGGTGGCAAAACAGCTGTACCATTCCAGTTCAGAAACAACGTGAATCCATCTTCAGCTTTGTTACATTCTCAGATGTCTTTTTTTTATCTTCACTACTAGAAAATACACCCCGCTTTGAAAAGACATTACTTCCAGAAATAATTTATTTCTTCATAAAAAGGACATGATATCCCCCAGGTTTTTCTTTATTGGGCAATGTTGATTTATACATTTTCTCTATCCAGCACATATTCATGTCATTAAGAAAAACAGTAGCAGGTGCACTGACATTTGGAGCTCAATGAGCAGCTGTAAAAACAGCTGGGTCTTCCTTGGTTTTGAAGAAAAAATGAAATCCTGGAGCAGAGAAAGCAGAGAAGTGGGATTTATGTATTTTCTTCTTACTGATTTACTTGAGCTTGGATAGGAATTGAAGGAAAGGGGAAGAAAATTCTGATTCTTTCTATTCTAAGGGAGAAGATATGATGAACAATCTAACATTTATTTGTCCTCAGTTTTAAGCTGTGACATTGATACTTAATGAGTCTGAGGAGTAACTTGCCATTTCACATGTGTGCTATATGTGGGTGAGAAGTTCATGCACAATTAAAATAATAGATAGTTTGTTATCAGTTTAATAACTGTTCCTAGATCCAAAGTTAACTTCTGGAATTTATTTGCTAGCTGAAGGTATCCACAAATAGCTTAAGTGAATTATTGTAAAGTCCCCTCAGCTAACAGTTCCATGATCTCAGTGGGACAGTTCCCACACAATAATTCACCACAGGACAACATAATCAGCACCAGCAATAATCCCTTGTTATTTTTCTTAATCTGCAGATCGTATGGTCATATATTTTAAGTCAGTAGGCCCATGTATTTTTAAATTTGGACACCTGCACAGAATTTTGTACAATGGCCTTTTCAACAGATCCAGTGCATTGTGTTTCATTAATGCAGAGAAGGCAGACAGATTGAACTGGAAAACATCAGGAGACAGAAATCTCCTAATTCTCTTGCAGTAAATTCTCTTGTGGTAGGGGACAGCCATTCTCTCAGTTAAAAGGACAGGCTAAGCTTGAAAAGAGCTTGTAAATATATATAGTAGTGGTTGTCTAGCTAATGTACATGATATTGTTCCTGTTCTCTGAATAGACATTTTTTGGAACTGGCCAACAACAGCAATACATATTTCCACTGAAGAATCTGAGCTGTCATTCACGATTATGACAAAATCCATACTGCTCTCTGCTAGGTCTGTAGTTCAAACCAGATGTTTTATTTTTTTTCTCAGCATTCATGCCTAGAATAAATTTGAAATACTCTTTGTGCCAGTTGAATTTACTCTGTTAAAAGTTCAAGAGAGTGTAAGCATAGAAGAGAAAGGAATGGTCAGTGGCTAGTGGGCTAGTGGTCCTGCAGCCTATCTTTATCTCTAGTAGGAGTAACTGCACTGTGTGAGATGGCCTTCCTCAGAAAGGAGACCCTGAGCTTGGTGGTTAGATCAAGGGTGTGTAACCATGAGGAATGTCCTCTGCTTTTCCTAACCAGGGCTACCATCCATCCTTACATCATTCAAGAACTGGAATCATCATCAAATGTCCTAAGAGCACTTGGACCACACTTGCACTGGGAGTTGCTCACAAGGAGGAGCATTGCTAGCATAGCAGCTGTGATGGGAAACAAGGAAGCTAAAATCTATCTTTTTTTTTTTTTGGTTTGCTGTTAGCCTTCATTCACAACCAGCCAGATCCCTGACTTGGCTCACCATGTGGCCACACGACGTGGTGTTGGCACAAAGGGGAAGAAGGAGAACGTGACTGTGGGGAAGGCATACAAGACTGCTTCTTGCAGCTGCAGCCATGATGAGGTCAGCCTCAGAAAAATCCTAGCTGCACAGACACCTTTGCCTGTCTCAAAACCAAGGAAGCCTGACTGAAAAAGAAATTACAACAAAAAGAAAAAAAGAAGAAGAAAAAAAAAAAAAAAAAAAGAAAGAAAAAGAAAAACTAAAAAGGCCCTTCTTACTACTTGGTGCTTAAACACCAACCTGGCTGCACATCTTCCCTCCCTCGTTTCCTTCATGGGAGATCTGGAAGTAGACCTAACCATCATTATATCCCTTCACTTGTAAAAAAATAAAAAAATTCAAATGCATTTAATTGAGATTGCTTAATGTTTTCCTCTCATACAAGAGATCTTGAACAGAAGTTCCTGTGAGCAATGTGATACAAATAGGGAAGGAAAGGTGGTCCTGCAATGAGGAAGGAGATATAAAGCACAGTTTCATTTCCCAGCTCTGCCTGAAGTTTCACGTTTCTAAAATTGCTTATTGCTTCTGTGTTAGGTCTGTGCAACAGTGTTAATATCTCCCTTCTTTACTGTTGCCCTTTGCTCATGTAGCGCTTACCATAGCCCATCCCCAATTGCTAGAACTATGGCAGTAAATTGAAAGACACTTTTCACTTCTTCTTCCCTTTAGTTAGTGTGTGTGTATTTCCTCTCTCAATTTCTGCTGCAGCAGCTTTACTCCAGCACATTAAAGGCTTTCTTGGCTGTTTTCATGTTTTTTTTATGAGCATAAATAATTATAGGTGGGGACACCCTCTTTATGACCAAGGGAAGAATAAATAACACAGCATATATTACTCCAGGCCAGGAATTGGTAAAAATGCTGTATAATAAAAATTCCATGGGAGGAAATAAATTCTGAGACCATTTTAGTTGGTTGATGCTAATCATATCTTTCAAGCCATCTACTTAAATCATAAAAGTTAAAATCTCCTCCATCTTTCACAATCACAGGCTCAGGTGGACTGTTTCCTTCTCTAGCAGTCTCCATTTCTATAAACAGTTTTTTTTTTTTCTTACTTATGTTAAATAACTAGAAAGGCTATTACAATTCTTTTTTAATGTTGGAACTCTGTTACACATTAACTTAAACTAATGTATTTAATGTAGTCTAATCTACTCCAATGTATCTCAGAATATTTATGAAGTGCAGAAATATAAAGTGGATTGGTCAAACTTCAGGGAACTAAGACGCCCATTTAGAAAATGTGTTTCTTTAAAAGGAGGTAAAATAATAAATGTTAACTTTGGAAAAAAAAAAAAAAAAAGTCATTAACATCTTTTCTCTTTTTTTACTATTTTTTTTTTCTAAGCACAGTGTTACTTGTTACTGATTTTAGTAGGAAGATTTGTTTCTTGTATCCTTATTGACAAAACTCAGACTTTCAAGATGGAGCTTTTTTCTTTTAACCTTCCATTTATAAGTAAAGAAGAAACAAATCTCTATCCTCACTTTTAGTCAACAGTCAGATAAAAGGACGTATCATTGACATTATTAATTTTATTCTTAGGAGCTAAGATACCAATGATATGGAGCTGAAAGTACAGAGAGGAAAATTCTCTTGGTAGTTGCTTTTAAAAACGTGTTAGTTCATCTTGGTTTGTAATTAAAATGTCTTCTTCATCTCTCTGCTGTGTTCTCATAAGGGGCACTGGGATTTCAAGTCCCTGTAATGGAGATTTTAATGTATTAAAGCTGGAATGCACAAGTTTTGCATAGTACTTGTTGTCATGGGAGCTACTTTTGTGAGTAACTGTAATTCCACATGCAGGTTTCAGAAGCTGGCCTATAGCACTGTGATGATTTTCCCTAGTCCTTCTATTTTTAATTATATTTGTGTGTGTGTGTGGTTCCCTTCTTTCTGTTCCTCTTATTCTTCCTTCAGCTTCCCACTCATTTTATTTCTCCTGTGCTAAAGCAAAGTGTTCAGTCATTTCTAACACCACAGTTTTATGCATGAAGACAAAGTATCTGGAAGTATTAACTGCTCTTTTCCTTGTAATCTCAGAAATAGGGAGTTGGTCTCAAAAATCTAGTAATGTCCAAATAAATGATTTTCACTACTTCTTTGGACTCAGGCTCTAATAATCTAAGACTGAAAGACAAAACTAGCAGCTGCAGACTTGAATTTGGCTTGTAGAACAGCTCCACTTGGGCCACTGCCTTCACATATGTCAATAGGCAAATGCTGCTTTCAGGAAGTCAAGCCACAAGTCCCTCTTGTTACTCTGCTCCTCTTGTCCTTCATGAAAA